GTACGGCATTGACTACACGGAAACGTTCTCGGCTGTGATGAAGTATGTGACGCTGCGCATGATCATTGCTTTGGTCGTGTACCTCGGCTGACCCCTGGACCTGCAGTTTGTATGCTGTCAGTAAGCACATAAACTACAACAGTACAACATTTAGAGTGCTATGAGTAGCTACATGTATTTCTATTGTCATTAATGAGTGAACGTCGGCAATCACATACCGAATACGGTAGCAGAAAAATACGTCGAAGCACGTGATATTCTTCAGCGGACTAAAGTACATGTATGCTGCGAAAAAAAATTGTGTCAGTTATACTGGACGTGGTGACAGCATTCCTGTATGGTATAATGAAGGAGGTGGTGCTCTGCATGGTGCCAGAAGGTGTCGAGTTTGATGGTGACTTCGACTGCCTGGAGCTGGTGAAGGCGATCTACGGTCTTAAGCTAGCATCGCACGTGTGGAGCGAGACCTCCGACGACTACGTGTGCTCCATCGGCTTTCAAGTTTCAGCATACGACCCGTGTCTCTACATCAAACCTGTGGATGGTCACTGGGTGCTTCTGCTGGTCTGCGTAGACGACGTTTTGGTGACTGGTAGATCAATTTGCAACCACCAAGAGCGATCTCAAGAAGCATTTTCGAGATGACCGAGGCAAGTGTACGTTCGTACTGGGATCGATTTGGTGTACAACGCTGACGACAGTGTGACGATGTGCCAGTGCCGATATGTCGACGACATTCTTAAGCATTTTTGAATACATGAGTGCAAGGCGCTGGTGAGTCCAGCTGATTTGAGTTCTCGACTAGTCCCAAGCAGCGCATCGACCAAGGTGAACGCTCCGTTTGGCGAGGCTCATGCACTTGATGACCGCGACACGACCGAACATTGACTTTACCGTGGGATACGTTTCTCATTTCATGGAAATTTCTTAAGTCAAGCACTGGGCTGCAGTGAAGCGTATTTTTCGCTATCTACTTGGAACTAAGTCGCATAGAATCTGCTTCAAGGCCGGTGACAAAGTGGACTTCCACGGGTACTCGGACGCAGACTGGGCTGGTGACCACTCCGACCGCAAGCCAACTTCGGGCTTCAAGTTTCTTTTGATGAGCGCACCCATGCGTTGGGAGAGCAAAAAAACAGTCAAGTGTGTCGTTGTCAACAAGCGAAGCAGAATACATCGCGCTAAGTTTGGATTTTTAAGAAGCCAAGTGGGTCCACCTCCTACTTTGCGAGATTTTGACGGCAGCAGGGAATCGGGACCAGAGCCCAAGATCCTCGAAGACAACCAATCATCCATCAAGATGACCAAGAACCCAGTGAGCCATGGTCGGGCCAAGGTCGGGCCACATCGACATCAAGTACCATCACATTCGTGACGAGGTCAAGCGCGGTGAAGCCAAGCTGGAGTACGGGAAGACCTGTGTGATGCTGGCGGACAGCATGGCGAAGCCGCTCCCGGGGCCACGACACAAGGACCTTACGCCGGCGCTTGGAGTCAACGCGTGTTCGCATTGAGGGGGCGTAATGAGGGGTACCGGTTTCAGACGGTAAGTACCCATGAGCCGGTAACCCAAACCGATCCAACCCGATGCCGCAATGGTTATGGTACGTTGATTACCACCGATGGTTAGACGAGTAGGATTGGACGAGTGCAGAGTGTTGGTGATTAGATGCACCAAATGATTGGATGACCTAGGTAGTGAGGACAGTGTAAGCTCCGATAAATCAATCACGTCGGAATCTTTCTTCTTCCCCTCGAGTGTTTTCGCTCCAGTCTCCCCCCCCCCGAGTGGTGACGCTTCCCTTCGCTCCATACAAGCCTAACGTTGCCCAAGACCCGTGACCTCTATCAGAATCTAGAAACATGCACAAGTAACAAAACCGCACGTTGAAATTATTCAGCTCACGTGACGTTGAATTACAAGACATGACGTTCTACCTTGACTGCTAGAAGCCGCATCATCCGTGGGGGTTAATTTTTGATGTCCGACAGTAACCGCGCTGGTTCCAGGTTAGCCGAAGTGTCAGTTCTGGCAGAATTGAATTGTAAGGCTAGTATAAGTGCGATGTCGTGTCAGCCCGCTGTTCTACATTGTCGTTTACGTACAGCTAACTTTTCAAGCTTTCCTGAGCTCCAAGTAACTTCCTTTTGAGCTTTCCTAAGTGGAGAGCAGTGTTAAATCAGTCAGTATCGGCGTACTTCGCGCCATATTCATCTTATTATCATATTGGATAATGACGCGAAGTAACCGGCCCTCAAATGGCACTTGCGCCAAGTTTCAACGCACTTCAACTTGGTTACGGCGCTTTCATGTATTACAAAAGAGCCTGGTATGGGTGCTCGCGCTCAAGGACTTTCGAGCTATCATTACGCACAACACTTGGAAAAACCATAATGACCAACCCTTTCGAATCAAGCTCTAGAACGCCTCGGTTAAGGAAAGGGGTCAGAATGGGCCGATTGATTCAGCTGTGTCACTACTGTCAGTCATCTGATTTCGGTCCAGGACATATCGTTAAATAATAAAAGTCTCAGAGTGACCTATCAGCCACTTAGCATCCAGGATTGTGAGCCATTGCCAAGGAAAGCATAAATGCGGAGCGAGTGCGAGCTAATTGTGCTCATGAAGGTCGATTTGTAGAAAAGAAATAGACGATCGGAGCCTGTTCTGTTTGCCTTCGCGGCCCATACGATGGGCCGCTCAGGGAAGTTGCAAAGTTTCTTTCGTGCCGCTCAAGACCACGAACGCAATCGTGCACCGCATCAATGAAGCAGTGACCGATCGATTAACTAGACAGGCGCGGGAATACATGTCTTCCGATTATGTACAAGACGACGGTGACGGTAATTTCTTCGAGCAGTAAGCACTCCACTCGATAAATATCAGTGGAATTCCTCCCCACAAGTTGACCCTCAAGGTAGGAATACCTATCATGATGATACGGAATCTAAATCTAGACCTCGAGCTGTGCAACGGAATACGGCTCGAATCGTGGCTCAGAAGCCACATGTCATCCACGCCACAACCATGACAGGTGAGCGACAAGGGTATCATTTGCTCATTCCCCGCATTGTTTTCATCAGTGACGGAGACATTCGGAGCTTTCCGTTTCATTTGAGACGCAAGCAGTTTCGTTTCCAGCGGTGTTTGTCATGACCATCAGCAAGGCGCAAAAGGACAAATGGCGCAGCGCTTGGGGCTATATCTTGCTACGCTTTGCTTCTCCGATGTCGCGAGTGATTTCAAGATCAAGATTTAAGGCGCTGTTCGAGTACTTAAAGCTGGAGGAGGAGAATGGGGCTTACACCCAGAACATTGTCTACAGGCAGATATTTGGTTCGGAGTAGGAATGCTCCATTTCATATGCATTTATAACACCACGTTTACATAAAGCATGCTGTCGCCGAAGCGCAGCGAAGGCAGGAGACCATTTCCTCTGAGACTAAAACCTGCCACCCCCGCCGCGTAGCGTCGGCGGCCGACTAGTCCTTAACTGTCAACGTTAGCACAGTGTTCGTCCGTCCGTCCGTCAGCTCAGATTTTTGAGCATTATCATTGGCTGCCGAGCGGGGCGAAGGCGTCTTTAATTGGTTAAAATTGGATTATGTATCTTGCGTCAGTAAATTCATGTGACTGACAGTGTACATATGGAGATTTTCACTAGGATATTTATTGTCCGAAGGCGCCAACGTTTAAATGTAATTTACTATTTAAATAATGCGTGTTGCTTTTAATATTCGAGTGCTAATCTGGGGGCTTGATTCAAGGTGCTTAATGGACACAGAGGACATGCTAATACTATTCGTAATACTCTCTACTCAGTAGTTTCTGCAAGTTACAATGACTAAAATGAAAACTACAATTGTTTTGTCGTAAGGATATTCACAATAAAAAGCTATCTGAGTGGGTTCTAACAGTAGCCGGCCGTAAGGACTGGCCGTAAGAACAGCGACGCTAATAAACGTTGTCACTTGAGCCACAAATATATATTGTTTTAGAGTGAGCAAAAAAGGACATTAATGTGCTGGTGACAATTAGTACTGTAAACGAATTGAACTTGACCCTTGTTTCCTAAGCGTTTTTTAGACAACAAGATCTGATACTACACGAACTTCAGGCGGACGTGTTGCCGACAAGGGCGTGGGATATGGTTTTAAATGGAGCGGTAAAACAACAACACAACATAGGAGGTGTAAATTATGGTTGGTTAAGTAGACCCCATAAAGAAACGTTCATAAACTTAGAGCCTAATTGGCTTTTAACCATCCTGGAATCATCGTTGAAGTATCATATAAAAATCACAACAACCGCATCAAGGCGTCTTGCGACACATTATCCAAGTGCTTTAATCATAACTGGTACAAAATCAAGTGTCTAATGACTAATTCTGAATCAGCACAAAATGAACGCTCTATGCATTAAAATGTTACAATTTGAATCTTTTTTAGCTTTCATGGTTTAGTATGAGAAGTGATCAATCTTTAGTTACCTGATTAAAAAAAAAACTTTAATGATCTTGAATCAAGATTCTGATGCGGTATCTTTATTATTGCTGGCTATCACTGAATCTTCATCTTCTACCCAAATCCATCTGCTCTTCGAATAACATTTATGCAAACGCTACACAACATGTTAAGTTTAGCGTCGTGCTCGATATCACGGGCCAGAAAACTGAGCCGCTATGAAACTTAGCTCACATCAACGCGAAATATAGTAATGGCCTGTCCAGCTTGCACTACTTACCCACTTGTACTGCCTATTCGAGCTTGTAAGTACCCAGGTTATAAAAATTAAAAAAATCGATTTAGGCATATAGGGGTTCGGCTTTTTTAAATATTTATCCCGCCGAAGCGTAGCGGAGGCGGGAAGGCCAAAACAAGTAGAGTTAAACCTAAGCTACCGCCGCGTAGCGGCTGCGCTCGGCTAGTGGAACTTTAGTTATGTTTGCACGATGATGCAGGATGACAAAAATTAAAGGAGTTAAGCCGGTTTTGCAACTTTAAAAGTCCGAGTAATGTTTGGATGACACTGTAAAAATGCTGGCTGTTGCGCAACTTTGATTAATTTTGCGTAATGTTGCATGTCGACTTATAGTCCTAAGTTGCTAAAACTGACTGGTTGCGCAACTTGGCTAATGCAAGCGTAAGGTTGCAGGATGACAAACTTATCGCGTCCCCTATTAATTGGCGTACCGGACGGGGGTCCGGGGATCGCAGTTCGAACCTGGAGCAGCAGAGGAAATTATGACATTTATTGAATAACATGTTGCCTAGTATTCATGTGACTAACTGCAGTTGCGGATGCCTCTTACTGTGGGTGTGAGTGAGTCTGGTGGTGTCATTACGGTGGCTTCATTGCGATGTGTTGCAGTTTTGACCTGGTATTGGCTGGCGTTCGTTGTTGGATGCGGTGGTGTCAATATGGCGGAGTCACAGCAGAAAGGTATTGCAGCTTTGACTCGACTTGGCAACACTCATGATAAAGACGCAGCTTGGTGGGCTTGAATACGATAATAGAGCCCGGCGATGGGAGATCTGGGCTGTTAGCTGCGATGTCGTAAAGCGAAAGTGTGATCAGGTATTGGTTCGCTTCGTAGGGGTCGTCCTGTTGCGCTTTTTGATAAGCCTGTGAATCATGTGTTAGTCAAGTTGTGTGTGCTAAACAAATCGGTTGTAGCAATGCAGATTTACCGTTTGTTGCTCGAGCAGCGGTTCATCTGCTTTTTGTTCGCCCAGATAGACGCGGAGGAAGCGTAGGCCATGAATATATTCGTTGGTAACCCACAGCAAGCGCGCTTGGATCCGGATTGAGTCGCGGAGTTTTGAATCGGCGACGTCATCGTTCTTATTGAACTCTCGGAGGTCTTGGTTCGCATAATGAGTTTGAAAAGCATGCATTATTAGTAGCAAAGGCCACGACCAATGTTAGTAATCGTACCGTCGATGGTGTCGATCACGATGTGCTTGCGGTCTTGCATCGTCTTTCTTAGTTTCTTAAGGGGAGACACATATTCCGTTGGCGGATGGCTCGTGTTGGGTCGTTCGTGTTTGGTGAGCGGTAAGATTTCGGAATAACTGTGACTGCTGTTTGCTTGGCAGATGCGGTTGCCGATGTGTCAGTGCTTGTCTTGTGTGACTTGGTGGGGGTTTTAGGTGGCATAGGTGGCTGTTGCGAGCAAAAGGGGGCTTTGTGGTTATGCTTGAGCTGCGTAAATTGACGAATGGACCCAATATTTGCTGATGGCGCTCTTGGTTTAGAAAAATATACGCCAGCTTTGTGGGGGACGAGGTGTTGTGAGTTTAGATAATTATTTCTGCTTCTCGTCTCACATTACAGACTTTTGATGAATGTTGTCATGCACCAGCGGCAGGTCGTGCTGGTCTTTTACTAATAGTGGATGTCTGTATGTTCTTGTCCTCTTAGCTGCAGCTCTTGTATCGGTAGTCTTATAGCTGCTCATCGTCTCCTCCTCTTCAGTATTGGCTGCAGCGCTTGAGTCTTCTCCAATCTCGTCTTGGTTGCTACTCGTGGTCGGTGACGGATTTTGTACTTGTAGTCACATACCGTATAGTTCTATCAGGCAAACAATGTTGTAAGTAGATGGTGACACTAGTGTGGATTCTGGTACACTAGTGTACCAAAATCTCACAAAGACTAAGACAAGATGCAGCCATCCAAGAGACCGTCATGAGCTGCCGCTGCTGCTGCTAATGCTGGAATGGATCGACAACTGAAACAAAAGGATGCACCTCTAGGAGTAATCTTAGCTCCATTACTGGTACAGGTGAGTTCATTAGAACTAAACCCAATATTTGTGAATGTCGCTCTTTATACGCCAGCTTTGCGGGGGACGAGGTGCTGTGAGTTTAGAAAATCTTTTCGCTTCTCGTCTCACATAGATTTTTGATGAATGTTGTCATGCGAGGGATGAGGTGGTGTGTGCTTCGGAAAGTTAACATCTATTCTATCTCGTGTCGTATTCACTAGTGGATATGCTGGTGTGTGATTAAAAGTACGTACTATCGTAAATGGTGATGTTATAGTACTTGAGAGGTGCGCGTTGTACGTTGTTAGATGAAAATTGTCGTGCTCATTTGTTTAGAATAGTGTACGCCACTTCCCTGTTTCATCGTCTCATACACGCATAGTGAACTGCACATGGTGAATGTAGTTGTATGGAAACAAAGAGGTACGTGCGAAACGTGTTGTCGGTATGGTGTCGTAATTTTCACTGATAGTACTGCAGTGCTAATGTTTTTGAGTGCAAAATGGATAGCGAAAGCATGGTCGGGCATGTAATGGATGGAGTGATTGCTCAGGCCTTCGAGTCAATTCGTATTGTCGAGGCAAACGTTTGCATTGGCGGCGCGAGGTTAGCACATTCTATCGTACGGGACATCGTTTATCTGTGATGCTAGGAGCTAGAGTGATTGCTGTATCTCGAGGTTTTCGTTGTTTTGACTTTAATGTTTTATCATGTTGAATCAGGGCGACTTTCCGGTGTGCTGCTGCGAGATTGACGAGAAGACAGAATATGCCTGTGGTGAAGGCTGTATTAATCGCTCTGTACGTCGTGTACATATTGTGATTTTATTTGGGATTTTCATGGTGTTGGTGATGAGCGTTGCGATAGATGCGGTACGAGTGTGTCGTGGAATACTGGCCATGTGGAGAACGGTGTTCAAATCGACAGCTGCAGATCGGCTCGACTGTAACAACCGCAGTGGTCGATTGTGAACGTAAGGGTGTTGGATTGATTGCTTTGGAAGTATAACTAGTATGACAGGTCGAGAAGAAGAAGGGAGAGGAAGAAGACGTTACTTGTAGGCGTCAAAAGACGAAGTGAGTACTTTATTAGTATTAGGAAGCCACCAATAGCTGTACACCAGCCATTAGTGTCTGTATAGTTTAAGCCAGTCATACCGACTTAAACAGGACCTCCTAAATCTCATAATAATATTTTGGAGTGACTAGGTCAAGGTAATCAAACTGTTTAGAGGCTACTTCAACAGCCTCCCTGCCTCTGAACATATTTTATCAAACTGACAATTCTATGTTATAACAGAGGTAAAACTTTCCTTAAAGGACTTTTCCTCAGTCCTTGAAACGCCGCCAGGAAGTCGCTTAGGCTAGCCGATCTGACTTTGCCCTGCAGTTTCTGCTAGGGAAGGAGGACGCTAAGTGACCCGCCTGGTAGGAACTGAAGGATGGAGCCCAACATGTCGTCTCTACTTGCCGCTGCTACGAAGCAGGCTCCCTCGCATCGGTAGAGGCTGTTTCGGTGGGCACAGAGCCCTTCCGATCTGCAAAGAGCGCTTCTTATGAGGGAGAAGAAGAAGCGGGCGCCGCGGACAGCACGTCATTGGCTTCCTCAGAGCTATCAATGGCTTCCGCAGAGAGGCGGGGTCGCTTAGGAGTCGAATGATGCGGAGGATCAGAGTCCGTCTCTGTTCGAAAAAAATAATGTATGGCTGTTTGATCAACAGCCTCCCTCAGTGAGGGCAGTACACGTTGGTTCACTGTGCCTGGCGCTGCTGTCATTGCAGGGCCTGATGTGGGTGACGGTGTGATCACTGGTTCTGACACATGTTCAGGCTCCGGTGCTACTGTAGTAGCAGTTGCAGGTGGCAGATGTACAGGTGCAAGTGTAGCGGTAGATTTCTACCGATTCGTGGACTGTGTGGGCTCTGGAGTAGACGTCAGGCCTGTGAGAGAGGGAAATTCGTCCTCTTTAAAGACTACATCACGACTGTAGATAATTGCATGAGTATTGATGTCCATCAGACGGTAGCCTTTCTTATGGTCAGGCACACCAAGATGCATACACAAACGGGCTCTAGCGTCGAGTTTGTCTCGGTATTTCTCCGTGATGTGGACATTATCCGCTGCATCGATACTTTGATGTACTGCATGATGAATACGGTTGTGCCAAAGCTCATACGGGGTTCGTCCATCCGTCTTGGAGCTAGGAGTCATATTGATGAGAGTGGTCACATGACAGACACACTCGGCCCATAACTGCTTCGGTAGCTTGCCGTCAAGTAGAAGGGCTCGGACACGCTCCATAATGGTACGCATGCGGCGTTCTGCAACTCCGTTTTGCTGAGGTGTGTATGCATTGGTAAACTGGGCGTGAGTTCCATACTTTTTAAATATGATGCGGCCAAGCTTCTCGTACTCTTTAGCGTTGTCTGCTTGAAGCCGCTGAATCTTAAAGTTACCCTGGTTTGCATTGTCTTCAACACTGAACGCGTACTCTATGACAGATATATCTTGTCTGAAAATATTCAGGGCTTTCTTCCTGAAGTCTTCGTAACAGCCATACAACTCGCTACGGTTCTTAATTGCATAAGTGAACATGAATCGAGAAAAGTCATCGATGAAGATCAAGAAGTAGCGACAACCAGTAAGGCTAGGCACAGGTAGTGGACCACAGATATCTGAATGGACTTTTGACAAAGGTGATGTAGCACGTTTAACAACTCTATTAGAGTAAAATGGGGAGCGGTGTGACTTCGCTAACGTGCAGGCAACACAAAAGAAATCTGTCTTTGGACCTAGAGGTATAGATCCATCGAGTCCATGTATGGCCTGACTCCTAGATAGGTCATTCAAGACACGAACGTTAGGGTGTCCAAGGCGTTTATGTAAGAGCAGAAAGGAACGTTGCTTACCTGAGGCAATAAGAGCCGCTGGAGGTGCCGCTGGTTTGGCTTGGAACTGATACAGATCCGTGTTGGTAGCCATAAGCGCTTTGATCTTGAAGCACTGGTCAGTTTGCATAGAGCACTGTTTGCGGTTAAAGTTGAAGCGAAAGTCGTGCTTCACAGCTGCTGGAATTGAAAGTAAACTGAATTGGAGCTGGGGAGCATACAGGACGCCATGAAGGATAAGCTTCTGCATAGTGCCCTTGGAGTCAGTGACTTCCAGATCGACCCGTCCAATGCCTTCGATGGGGATTTGGTTATTACCACCAACCGTAATGGATCCACCACTGGAGGTGATGTCGGTAAACCACTGAGACTCATGGGTGACGTGTCGAGTGCAGCCAGAGTCGATTGTCCAGGTGGGATCGAATTCTATCTTGGCTTGAGCAGTGAGGCTAAACGGGAGATTGACTGTGGTAGCAACAGCGATGAGACCGGTGTCACGACGTCCTTGGCGAGTTACCTTGCGGTTGTTTCCAGAATCACTGTCGTCGTCATCGTCATTGTCTGACTCAAGCGGGCGGTCCTTGTAGCGATCTTGACCGCGTTGTTTGCCGCCATTTCCGTGCTTGTTCTTGCTACTACTGTTGTTGCCCTTGAAGTCGCGGTTGTTATTATTCTTGCCGTGTCGCCCATTGCCACCTTTGTTCGAGTTCTGGTACGGGTGATCGCGTTTCGAGTTACCCTTGAAGGCGAAGTTAGCAGGTAGCACTGTCCCAGCCTTCACTCGTCCATCTCGCAAATCCTTTTGAAGGCCTCGGCATTGGCGAATGTTGTGGCGTGGGCGATCACAGTAGGAACAGACATTGGCGCTGTCACGGCCTTGGGCTTGTGACACAGGAACCACTTGAGCGCTCTCACCCTTGGTTGCAGAGGACTCTGGTGTGCCCTTGGCCAAGGTGTAGCGCTCTTGAGCTTAAAGATCGCGAACCTTGCCTTCAATGCTCTGCTTGAGGTCTTCATACGGGATATACTTCCGCTGGCCCTTCCAGATGCGGAGATCGTCTTTCCACGACTTGGGCATCGAGTGGAACAGGTAGATAGACTTCTGTCCCTTGGTCATCACCGATTCGGTGGCTTCTGACGCTCTCAAGCTTGAGAAAGAACTCAGTTAAGTCGGAGCCTTCCTCATACTTGATCTCCATCAAGTAGTGTTGAATGAAGTACGGATCACCATGAAAGGCTGCTCCCTCGTACTTCTGGCAGATGTAGCTGAAAATCTCGAAGGATGTCGTGAGATTCTTGACGAGCCGCACGTGCATGTTGTCCA